ATGTGACCAAGCTGACTACCTCAACAGTTGTTCCTCCTTGGCCCTCTGGCTAGCAGAATGCATGGGACAACAGTACCAAGAAAAATGAGGACCATCAATGAGGGATGCAGACAGGGAAGTAGCCCAAATACTTTGACTATTTTTCAACAGCCTACCCCAAATCCTAACAAATTGAGGGGCTATGTCTACTCATTAACATACCTGCTTTTCCAAAACTTCCCACGAGTGATGTACCCAAATGCTTGTTCATTAATAGCTAAACTGTACTGGGACAATGCTGATTATGTACTGTATCGTGTGACTTTTTAAGCGAGATTTTTTAAATTTTAGGTATTTCAAGCATGACGCCCAGATGTTTAGATACATTCGATTTAATTTTTTACATCAGTTTGTTTTATCCTATCACCTACCTTTCCAGTGGGTGGCCTGAATGATTCCATGAGGTATTTTCCATCTCTAAAATATGTAAGCCTACTCACAAATAACCAATCTCTTCTCAAGCATTACAAGTAGTAGCTATTCTCTCTATTCTGCAATAGAGAAATAAGTCACTGAATTTCTAAAATTAGAATGCGTGATTTAGTTTCCCACCCCCCAATATTGAAAGCCTCTTTAAGTTACTTGTAATCTTTTCTACCCATAGACACTTGAGCTAAGATTTTAATACCTGATCTACGAATGACAACTGAATCCAATATATTACAAAGCTTATCTAGCAACTCTAAAGCCTATTTTGAGCATCAGTCAATTGCCATTGAAGCAAAAATAAGTAATCTTGTCCTCGTCTCCCTTCTACACCTAATTTGTGTGAAAGTGGATATTCAGGATATCTGAAGTCTGCTGCCCTTTAACAGGTAGGATTGTATGTCATTTGAAGAAGCAATTTCAGAGCTAGAAGGAAGTCTGAGAACAGGAAAATGGATTATAAAAGTTAGACGCTCCAGAGCCTTTTCAGTAAAATAACTACTACAAAAAGGCACATTGGAATAGTGTGGAGTTGTTAAACTAAATACAAACAAGCCTTTCCTATGCATTTGTATGTTGTTCTACAATAAAAAAATGGGGGCAGGCCAGTTTTAAAAAATTATTCCAGTCTGCTTTTTAATGTGAAAATAAAAGTGATTTGCTTTATTGCTGGGGAAATCTTCACAAAACTGTGTCATAGTTCCATCATCACTCCAATACAAAAATCTCAATGCACTCAGGCTCATTTGCAATCACAAGCCTTAGCAAAGGAATTATGCAACTTGACATTAATTTTCTGTGACAAGGGCTTCACAGAGTTTAAATCTGTTAAGACTAACTTAAAGTCAAGTGTTGGGAGGTAGGAGATGAGTTCTATCCCAAACTCATGTCACCTTGGCTAAGTCCCTTAGCCAGTTTCTGCATGGTAGAATTGGATTATTTCTACACTTCACAGTTGTTGCAAGGGCTATTAGTATCAAGACAGTGTTGCTACTTACCCTTGTTATCGAAACACTTCAGTCATGAAACATGTATAAATTATCCACAGTATACAATTTTTCCCAACTATTTCACTGTATCCACTTAGTTACTACTGGCCCACCATTTGTATTGGGGTATATACTCCCACTCACATTCAAGGTAGTTATGCACAAAACCAATTAGTATTGATCAGAATATACTCTCTAATCCCCACAAATATCAGTGGGAGGAACAGTTCCTCTCCCCACCCCACTTCCAAACCATTTGATCCTGGGAGTCGATTGGCAAGTGTTTTTTAGGATCTCTAGGAGCACTTTCATTATTAATTTTACTGTTGTAGTTAGCATGGCCAAAACATTGCTAAGGATGGAGATAAAGCAACTGAAAATGAAAGTAGCAATAAACTAGTCATTTTGTTCCCAAAGAATTTGCTTGCTCATGAATTTTCAAATACTTGTAATGAGAAAGAGTACCATTCTCACCTTTGTGCTGCTACTGATGCATAGTTGGTAGAGTATAGTATAAAGTTGTTTGAACTCTGGGGCATATTTGTATCATCACCTATGAAACCAAGTAAAGGAGCAGGAGCCCATTTTAATACACACACACAGAAAACAAAACGATGGCAACATGTGATGATACTACGTGGAAGAACCTTCAAGGAGAATTTTTTATTTAAATTAAAAAAAAATCATGTTTTTACTACTACCACCAGCAATGGACAATTGAGTCTCTTCTCTTCACTTGCCTGAACCATCTATGGCTAAAGTTAATTTTCTATGCAGCAATGTAAGTTTCAGTGCTCCATTTTGTAGAAGGTGGTGCCAATTTTACCTTCTCATTTCTGTTTTCATTTTGAATTTGACTTTAAAAACTGGGAGAATCTCTCCTTGTGATTAGAGAGAGAACAGTGAAGTCTTTATTTTTATTCAGTGTTCTGTATAAAGAGTAAGTTACAAGGAAATGTGAACTCTCTGAATTAAATTCAACTGCAATATACTGTGACCAATTCCATGTCAACAGCATACTCCCCACCATTAAAACCGGCAAAAATCCAGCATTTATGAAAAGTGAAACTGCTAACATTGGCAAGAATAAAGCCACCCACACTTGGCACTAAAAAAGAGGGCCAATCTCAATTCAAATATGTTTACTGAATTTAGTGCATAGACAAGTTCTGACAAAGCAGTGATTTTCTATCATTCTATCTAATAAAGAATGGCTTAATTTAATACTAAACTGTTTACATACGAACAGGTACACCCAGCACTATTTGCAGCAGAGCTGGAAAAAATATTTAGTATTTGTCACTGCTAAATAGTTTAAAGACAAGTATATGAAGACACAGCACATTAAAGTTGTTTTTCAGCTCAAAGGCACAGCAGCCAGAAAACAGGATTTGATCCATGAAAGGAAGTTGTTGTGTGTTAACCTAGGTGTTTGAAATGTAAGTCTCAACCGGAGGTCAAAATTTTCATATATGGGTGCCTGAAATGCGTATCATAGACACTAAGCACCCACAGCTTCCACTGACTCTCCTGCCAGTACTAAACGGAAATTTGGATAGAGTGCACGGATTTCTCACACGAAAGTGCTGTCAGGCTACAGCAAGTCCAAGCTTTTTGTAGCCTTAGCAGCACAGGTGTGTGGTAGGGATGTTAAATTTAGATTAATTGGCTAATCAAATAGTCGATGGGAGCCTCTGCCAGGGCTGTTGCTACACTTCAAAGGTGAAAGTGCTGCCAGGAGCACAGGGCCAAACAGTCCCCCGCTGACCCTGTGCTCCCCACGGCATTTCAAAGCGGCAGCACTGCATGGAACCCGGTGGTCAGCGGGAAAGTCCCCAGCTGACCTTAGGCTCCATGCCGCACTGCTGCTTTGAAACTCTGTGTGCAGCCTGGGCCCGAGAAGGCGCTTTGAAGCATTCTCATTTCCCCCATCCCTTGCTGCCTCTTTCTGATGGAGGCAGCCGGGGGGAGGGGAGAGCAACTAGTCATTAACATCCCTAGCGTGTGGTATTCTGCAAGCCTCTTCTGACTGCCAATGCACCTTACCCTTGAGGAGCTCTAGTATCAGTCCCAGGGAGTCCAAGTAGATGGTCAGTTGTTTATCAGAGCAGTGCTTACTAGGCTTCACCAATGACAAGAACAGAAATCACTGCTCTTGTACTCTTACTGTATGTAAACGTGAAAGCTTGCTGAAGACAAAGTGAAGCTAGCTTTAAGTCATGAGAAAAATTTGTTCTAAAGGGACAAAGAGCAATGTTTCCAGTGGAACTGAAAATTCACTTGTGAACAAAGACTGAACTGTCATGCCACATGGGCTTCAGGCAGCCAATAATATATATGAATTTTATCAGATTTATACAGGGCCACTTCCTAATGAAAGTGCTCAGCAAAACACTGCCAACATTTTTTCTCCCTAAGAAAATACTACTGGCTTTCTATTCTGCCTAATTTTCAGGTCCCAGAAGCTTATTGCTCTACTATGACTGCCAGCAACACAGAGCCTGAAGCACATGCAAACATCATCATCATCATCAGTTGTATAGGTCCAATGGTTTCTCATTAGATTCGATAGTCATACATTACAACCTATTTGGCTATGCCAGCTAAGAAATCTCCCTTTTTCAAGAGCCACATATTTCATCTAACTGCACATAACTTCGTTAGAAATTCTGGTAGGGTTTTATCAAATTAAAATTAGCACCTTTTAAGTATCTTATGGCATCTTCCCATAACCAAATTAGATGCCTCTATCATAAATCACTTGAATAAACTGTGTTTGGACTTCCATTCTTCCTGCACCTAGGCTTTACATACTGCTGCACATAATTTACGGACAGCTAGCTGATTCTAGAAGTTCAGCATCAATAATTGTAATTAATCAGCTAATATATTCTTTGATATTATAGAATTTTAGATCTATGAAGTCTGTTGACCCAGTAGTCAGTTTCAATGTGAAACTTGCTTAAAAAGTCTCAATTCAAGCTTGAAAAATTGATTGGCATCAATCATAAACTCCACATTCAGACCCAGAGATAAAGTACATAAACTCCATAGTCTGCAGAAATGCTCAAGAGAGAATATAATATTTCTTTCCTCAACTTCTCTGTATTTCACAAGCAACGTTACTTTGCCGTTTTTATTGAAGAAGCCAACACAGCTGTCTTGGCTTATGGAGCAATGTACCAGGTTCGTAAGACTTCAGTAGGAATTTGTTAATCTATTAGTGCTGTTGTAGAGCATTATGCAGACTTGCATTGTGTGTTACCACATCACACAAAAGCGGCAGCTTTTAACTTTACAACTAGCAATTTTTCAAGTAAATGTAGAGATGGGAGGGATACTAAGTTAATGAGATTGACACTATATGCTTAAAAGTTTCAGCCCTAAGCATAGATACTGCACTTACTAATGGATATGAGTATACGAATCAAATGTCAATGAGCAAAAGGTCAAATGACAGTAATCTCCTCTCTTTGAAAGTAACAGGTGCAAACACCATATCCACACAGGCTTTTTATCCTTGTTTAATTTTCTTTAAAATAGTTTATGCCCTTTTCCATGAGGCCAACACTTGCATTTAACTATCAATCTTTAATATTTTCTACCAGGATCAATGGTATTCAGTTTATAAGATGAACTTTCATGCTCAAGCCTATGAATTTGTATAATCATAAGCCAATTTGTATTGTGTGAGAATCTGTTCATTTCCTTCCACAAACACTGAGTGAACTCTTCTGTTCTGACCCATCTTTTTAAATTTTGAACAAGTTCTGGTCTTAGCATGATAACATGATGAGCAAGAGGACAAGACATTACCAAAAAGAAGCTCATCAACAGCAAATACTGGAATCAATCAATGGAGGGAGACATTTACCCAGAGCAAAATCCATTGCTGACAATGGATATGCCAGGGCATTACTACCGTAAGACTTAGAATACTTGGGACAGAAACCAGAAGAGATGTCTCAACTTAAATGGATTCTAATATAATATCTGTTTTCAACATTTAAAAAAAAAAAAAAAAAAAAAGAGCATGAAAATAAACCTTTAAGTCAGTCAACACCCAATACTATTAGAGAGAAGTTCACAGTTTTAGTTTTTGACAAATGAACTAAAAGGCAAATTTACATCTATCAGAAGAACGGCAAATGGACCAACTTTATGTACAGGCTGTCTTGAAAAGGTGTATTATATCTGACATGTTATTCAAGGTATTGCTTTATACTCTGATATGCAAAGAAGCAGACAACTTTTGTGACAAAGTCAGTAGCAAGGCTCAAAATGCTTGACTGGCACAGGAGTAGTCTGAATAAAGAGCTAAGATTCATGGTGAAGAACACACATATATAGTTTAAGTGGAAGGGATTCATTACAGCAAAAACTTTTCAATAAAGGTGATTCTGGACATCAAGGTATTTGCACAGCTGTATTAGCAGGGATGTTCCTAATTGACAGATGCTATTATAATCTTCAACACATTCCATGGTGTGAAATGTACAACTGCAAGGGAGCAAAAGTAATTAATGAAGGATTCCCTCATGGTGCCAGGAACAGGAATACCTCAATGCTAAGCACCTGTATAAAACATGTTTAGTGTCAGAAGATCTGACCCAGGAACAAAAAAAATTTACCATCCAGCATTTGAAAAACTACTCCTTCACACAGCCTACTATATTAAACTGACAAGTAAGAACACTAAAAGAGTCTAATCCAATGGCATTAACATTTGTTTAAAATTAGCGCACATGTGTTTTGGGTTTTTGTTTTTGGGGGGGAACGGGTAGAAAAGGTAGAAAAGTGTTTAGATAAAGCAAGGCAGCTAAACAGCAACATTTTTATATCCAAAGATATCCAATATTTTTGCCTGTCCTAAACAGCATTTTAAAAAATAGGGCATTACCATTTGTTTGCTAGCTACCTGGTTAAGAAATTACAAATATTTTATAAGATGCTCTAAGAATAAAACATTAAATAAAATGAACAACCTCTTTCCAGTCTCCTAACAAATGCTGCAGAGAAAAATCCTTAGGAAATATTTTTATTAGTCATTCTCTCAAGTCCTTTCATATTTGGAAAGTGGTAATGTTCCTGTTCACAGGGTTTAAATTAACCTAGAAGGGATTTCTTCAGGACATAGTGGGTCTTCTTTTAATCACCCTCTCTGTGAAAAGCACTCATTTGTGAGTTAGTAATCAGAGACCAAACAGTGAAAAAATAAAGCAAAAATTTCAAACAAAATTTAGAGCAAAAGGTGTTTTTTGGTTTGTATCCATTCAGACCACAGATGTCTCGCCCCCTCCCCCCCTCCCCCCCCCGAAAGAACTGACTTTGACTCAATCTTTCCTATTTCCTGACCTAATGACGCCCTTTGTTTTCCTCTTCCGAACAAGGATTGCAGGTAAGGGAACAGTGTGTAAATACATCAGATAATCTATTTATATAAACATACTGCAGTGCGAACATTCCATATTCCAAATGGAATTTAAATAGACTATTAGAAATAGATGATGCTCCCTTTCCACCTCCCACTCTTATAGAACAAAAAAGAATTACCCAGATCTAGAGGATACTTTCTCAAGTAGTAATATTAAGAAGGATAAACTTTTACCAAGAATCTAGTTTTTTTTAAGGAGAAGGGAATAAGAGTGAAAAGGGGGAGTGAAAGGTGCAATATAATTTTTAAAAAACTTTTTAGACCAATTATCTGTCCATCGCTACTGGACTAATATGTAGGTATTTGACTATAAACCAATGTGCTTTGACTATTTTTCAAGTATTTGATATCAACTTTGTATAAAGATTCTGCATACACAAACGACCAAAGATAGATGAAAAATGACTTATTTTTCCAATTTTGAAAATAACTATTAAAAACCTAAAATATTCCAGAACAATATTCCACATGGTACTAACAGTTTGCCAGATTAAATTATCATATCCCAACTGACCATGGGCTGATAAAACTCTGCTAAGTAGGTATTAAAGGAAACAGAAATAGTATGCAATATTTAAAAACCATTTTGTAGTTTGGGGAAACTCTAAAATCCCGAATTAAAAAACACAAATGAAGTGAAAGCTTTAACTGGTACACACTGTTCACACCTATATTTCAAGTTTGGAAACGCATATTTTCAAGCAGCAATACAAAAAAGTATCCATGAAGAATGCATAATCTCTGAAAAAATTATGAAAACATCCCTGCTACCATTACATTTCTAAATACAAAACTGACTACCATATTGTTGCTTCTGTGTAGCGAGAGAAGTTCATTTTGAAAACAGATAAAATTCAGTCTTTAGGTGTGAATGGTATGAATGACAGTCTCCTTTTTAAAATTTCTTAGTTGTTTAGGATCCTTAAGCATGCAAGCCTCGTAGAGGAGGGCCCAACCAGGGGGCAGAGTTGGCTTATGACATCCAGTTTAGGACAGAGCTGGGAAAGCCTCTGGGTCATCTACATCAGGAGCAGAAGCACTTGACTAAAAGAAAAACATACAGAAATTAACCACAGAAATTAACCAGAGAACCACAAACTTTTTAGTCTTCATGTTTTTCATTTGTGCTATTGTTCTGCATGATACACTTGGGTCTAGCAAGCTGGAAGCTTCAAAAGTGTCTAAAATGCCAAACAATGGGTTTTCAAAGCAGCATATAATACAATTAAAATAAGATTACTGAAATTTCCTAAGATTTTTTTCCACAGTGAATCACACTGAGAATTATTCTAAGTACTGTCAGATTGCTCACAGTAACATTTTACTGCTGCTAACCCACTATTCAGTTATCCATTTACAGCATCTTTTAAACATGTTCACAACTCACCATATTTAAAATCTCTCTCATATACTGGAACACATATTTCTCAAAAGGTATAAAATAGCTCTATGTTTGAAGTACCCTACATATGACTGATCCCATTCTATTGGAAGTACAAATTTAAATATGAACAAAGTGACAACCTGTGATGTGGCCATATATTGACACAAATTCTCAGTTTTGTCATGGCATGAAGGGATGGATTACAACAGAGTTGTTGACTGTATAGCTTTTATTCATAGATGAACATGTAAATATTTTGCCACTTTAAAACAGAAGAATTGAAAAACTGAGCAACAACTGACAAGCTAGAGAGCTTAAAATAAAAGGGTGACAGGAGAGGGGTAGACTCATTCACTAGTAACAAAGAGGTTTAGTTATAGCACTACCGTACAGGTTACTATTTATTTGGTTTATTCAACCCAATGATCCAAAAATTCCAACTTGCAATTACAAGCAAGAAGGACTTTCAAACAGAAAAGGCAAAAATACCAAAATCCAAATAGAAGACTGAAACAAGAAAGTCGTCCTCTATTCCATGCCCATACGTATACATTGGTGGGAGTATGGACATCAGTGGGCCCTTGAAACTAAAAAGGTAAGTGGTAAAAGCCAATCTATGCAGAAACCAATTGTCTCCACTATATACTACCTAATTCAAAGATAAAATTAACACTATCATTGTAAATCACCAACCTGATGGGGTGTGTGAATCACGTCAAACTCCTTAACCAACTGGAAGGAAACACACAAAGTCAACACAAAATAACTGCAAAATATGAAAATCTTTAAGAAAGCCATCACAAAAGCAGTCACAGAAACTAGATGCTATACTGGAGTACCAAGCTGGAACAAGAAATAATGGATTTTTTGATGTACTTTTAAGGAAAAAAAAAAACCCAATTCAATTACATTTGTAGAACCATTTCCCAACACTAAATCTAAATATCCAATGAGCTAATGCAGAAGTGATAAGAAAACTAGACTTCTGTGAGTGGTACAAGAAAGGTATTTTTTTTAAAAATGCCCCAATGGAATTTAACAAATATAGAAGGTGCAAATCTCTAGCAGTTCCCAACCGCTGGTCCGTGGACTGGTGCTGAGACGCGAGCTGCTGGCCCGCGGTGGCTGCCATTGTGGCTGGTTTTGCCCAGTGGTGGTTCTGGGGCTGAGGCGGCGGCAAGAGGTGGCAGAGCAGGAAGCATCTCCCTCCCCTCCCTCAATCTCTACCCATGGAGGCATGAGACATGCTTGGGAAGGGAGGGGACATGAAGGAGGATGGAGAGCATGCACTGCCAATGGCCGCTCCCCATCTGCATGGCAGTAACAGCCACACTCCCTAGAGGGGGCAGCCTCACTCTGGGGAGTGGAGAAGCGGGGTGGGCTATAGGGTGGGTGAAAGGTTGTTAGGTGCTGGGGACCAAGGGGCTGGGTTGGGGCAAGGCGAGCTGGCAACATTGTATTTACATATTAATTATTTGCAAAAAGCTTGCGAATGGGTCCGTGGTATAAAAAAGGCTGGGAACCACTGGTTTAAGGGACCAACTAAACTTGCTCATACTGTATCTACACTAGGATGATTTGCTTTAGGGTTACATTGGTACTGTTGTAATGCAGAACAGCCCGCCTAAGGTGCTCTCTCTTTCTGGAAAGGGAGAAGTGCTGCACAAACCAGGAGCACAGAAACTACAAAAGCAATAATGACGGAAGTCTATCAAGGACAAGAAAATATAGCGGGAATTAAGGAGTATTAAGACCAGGTTTCCAGTCTGCTAACTGTGCATACTTTTCCAGAGGAAAATTTCCATCATTGAGAACATGTCTAAATGAATGGAGGAAGTGTAGCCATAAACTGAGAGTTATGTCAAGGATAATATTAACCAGGGGTCAGCAACCTATGGCTCAGTATGGCCACCCCCTCTGTCCCATGTGCTGGAGCTGGAGTTGGGCTGCAATGCAGCTGTCCCTAGGGCGACAGCTACACCACAGACTCAGTTCCTGCTCTGTCGGTCGTCACGTGGCCCAGTGGACCCACATAGCAAGTCACTGCCCGGTGTGCCAGAGATGGAATCGGGCTACAGTATGACTGATCCTGGGGCCGAGGCTGTGGTGCAGCCCTCAGGAGCATCCACACCATGGTCCCAGCTCCAGCCTCAGCACACTGGGCAGCTACCCACTAAGTGGCCTCACCCTGGAAGCAGCTGGGCAAGCCACCATACAGCCGTGGCCCCAGCTTCAGCTCTTCACCAGGGCTGGAACTGTAGCCAAGGAAGGCCGCATGACAGCTGCGCCTGGCTGCTCCCACAGCAGCCTTGCCAACAACGCCCCAATCAGGAGCCCCTATCCTGGGTCAGGCCCTCCAATCCAGCCCCCGTCCTGCTGTAGCACAGATAATAGGGGAGGCTCCAATTCAGCTGCAGCCGTCCTGGCTCAACCCCTTGTCTAGCCACTGCTGCCCGGGTGTAGCAGCCCAGCTCCAGCCAGGTAAAGTAATCTGACTCCAGGACCCCCCACATATTTTATTTCCCACCCCCAGAGTCCTGCCCTGCCTCCTGCATGTCCCACACACTTCAACCCCCATCCCTGAGCCCCTCACACATCCTAACCCTGACTCCTGCAACTCCACATCCTGAGCCCCCTTCCATAAGATTGACAGAAGACAGCCTGAATGGATGCAAAAAGCTGAATTTGACCAGTTATGATGTAAACGTCAAAAAAATGTGAGAAGAGATGCAGCAGCAGAAGTCCCATTAAATAAAGTCTGAGTACAATGTTTCATGTTATGCTATTATTAAACATCACATCAACTATCAATAATATAAAGTTGTGTATTTTAAATCATGCGAACAGGCATTCGTATACCACCCGTTGTTGACCACTTGTTCTGAATTATGATGTAGTTTGGCTCTGGTTTGAAAAGGTTGCCGACCCCTGCTATACACAATTATAGATGAGATAGCATTTCTAGGCACTGTGTAAGCCAGGGAAGGGCAATAAATTTTTTGCCAGGAGCCACACCGGAAGGGGTGGGGCCAGGATACTTTGGGATTGCCCACCCACAGACCATGATTGGACTGGGGTTGGGGGAGCTCCTTTCCCCCCCCCACTCCTTCCCACTAAGCATCCATGCCCCTGGTGGTGGGAAGACTTCCTGTGCTCTCCCACCTCCAGACCAATGAGGGCCTGGGGCAGGGGAGCATGCGAAGCTCCTCCCGCCCTGCCAGGAGCACCTGGCACTTCGACCACGTGCTCCTGGCAGGGTGGAGGAAACTTTGTGCACTTCCCCCCGCTCCCAGACCCTAATTAGTCTGGAGGTGGGGGAGCAGCAGGGCCTCTGCAGGCCTGATCAACCCACTTGGTGGGCTGAATCCAGCTCAAGGATGCCCTTTTGCCCACCACAGGTATAAGCTGTAATGAAACCCCAAAGAATCCCTCAAAGTGATACTAACATGTTAGAGTCAACTTTCCTAATAATGAAACACTACTAAGTTGCATCCAACTTAAAATAGATAATGAGTTTACTTGAAACTGAAAGGAATAAATCGCACAATTAACAGGTAAGTACCTCAACAGTGCGGATGGACTCTCTCTCTACTCCAGCAGGAGGAAAAGGAATGGACTAATAAAGACCCATCTCTATAAAAAGAATACACATGAAGCACAGATTCCACGGCCAGAACGGACTCCTGAGACCATCTAGTCTGGCCCCCTGGGTAACACAGGCCACAGAACTGCTCAAAAATAATTCTTGGAAAATTTCTTTTAGAAAAAATATCTAACCTTAACTTAAAAAATGATAGGATGGAAAATGCACCACGTCTTAGTAAACTGTTGCAGCAGTTAATTATTCTCACTTTTAATGGCTTCTATAATAATGGCAAAGATTTCTGGAGCAGCTTTGGTGATTTATTAACCCAATTTGCTGGAAGACAGACTTTGTTAAAAGACCAAGAGCATGTAAGTACAGATTACTTACCTTGTCAGTTCTACTTCCACGGCTGGCTCTTCCACCACGTCCCCGGCCACCTCTACCACCTCTGCCACCACGTCCAGGGCGACCAAGATCTCCAAAATTGATCTCCAGCTGGGATGTAATATCGTTTGCGGGTTTACGGAAGTGATGATCCATTACAGAATCTTCAGCATGAGCCTAAAATTAAAATGAAAGCAGCCACCACCACTTAAAACATTTTCCAATACAAGGCCCTGCTCTAACAACCACTTATGTAGGAGTTTAGCTTTAAGCAAGTATGTAAGTACGCTAGGTTCAGATTTCAAGATCTAGAAACCTGCAGGTTCTTCTTTTCATGAGAAATATAACTGTACAATAGAGAAACTCCATTGACATACTAGCTAACATACAGCTAAGTAAACATTTACCAAAACACTTTTAAATGGAACATATTGGGCTATTCTTTGTTCTTTCCTGAATTCCATTAAAGAAGCAAGAGTGGATTTATCTGTTTCGAAAGAACGTATTTATTTCTCACTAAAAAATAAAAAGGCAATCCTGAATCTCTAACGTTCACTCTTTCTTTTCCCATGACTTTTGCTATTTCTGTACACCAATTGTTATTCATTCAGTGTCAAAAACCTTGTCATATCCCCCGTATTTTCTAAAGCCAAGAAAAAAGTTGTATAGTACTTTACCCACCATACCATTCCTTTGGCCCAAATGGCCAACAGATTAGATATATACACAATATACTGAACCAATGATGGCAGCTAGCATACCCTGTTTAAATAAAGAACAAGTTGGTATCATGAGCTATAATAAAAATAATGCAAGGGCCCTAAAGTTGGTGCTATATTAGTATATACTTTAAAAAGCGAAGTCTAGAAAACTCAACATTACAAAGCCATTTACACACAACTTTTTTGAGCCCATTTCTTGAAATGTGCTTACTGCAACTAAAACCTTTCAACTCATTCTTCTGGTGGACTATTAGCATCAAAACAATTAGGCTACGGCTACACTGTAGTCTTCTTCCGGAAAAGCTTATGCAAATGAAGTGCAATGTGGAATATTGCCACGCTTCATTTGCATAATTAATTAGCAGCTGCTTTTGCGCAACAGCAGCTGCTAATTAATTATGCAAATGAAGTGTGGCAATATTCCACATTGCACTTCATTTGCAGAAGCTTTTCTGGGAAAAGGCTACAAAACAGCCATAGCCTTAGTGTAGTCAAAAACCGATTTTATCAAAATACTGAGCCATAAATAATTGTCAATTAGCACTGTTAAATAATTTGAATTAATTTTTAAAGAAAATACCATCTCCCTTTTTTCACTGAAGTTCAACTTCAGATTAACCATTGTCTAGTAGGATTTTTTTTGTTCAAGTATTGCAATGGCTTGAACATCCAGAGGCTGCATAACACATCAAAAAACTGCAGTAGTACATATAAGCCCTACTCAGGATCCAGGAAGGATTCTGTGCTAGGGTCTATACAAACATAGAAAGATACTGTCCCTGCTCAAAGAACTAAAAAAACAAAACACCCCCTCCCCCCACCTAGACATCCCCCCTCTCTCCCCGGAGGGAAATGAGGATGAGGGGTAAAAGTAACAAGAAAACAGGATTACATAGGATACACATAGGTACACTATATGCATAGCTTGAGAGTTCCACCTCATTTTGAAAGCCTTTCAAAGTATGAACAAACATCAGCAACTCCCTCTAGCATTATCTAACTAGTATCATCTGATGATTTCCTATAGGCATCAGAAGTTGGTACTGAGGTGTGCAGCGAAAAAACTTTATGGACTATCTCAGGGAAATGGTTTGTGTGTGTGTAGAGTATGGCAGGAAAAAAGCATGAGGATCAGACAAGTGGACACTTATGAAACAAAGGGCAGGAAGCAAACATGCTAGTTACGAAAAGATCATGTGAGATACCTGGCAAGGCACCAGGCACGGACAGAAGAGTTATACACCATGGCTGTGTCTAGACTGCATCCCTTTTCCGTAAAAGGGATGCAAATTAGACATATCGCAATTGCAAAAAAGCGCCAGTCTAGACGCGGGCCTTTCGGAAAATAAAGCCTTTTCTGAAAGATCCCTTATCCCTCTTAAAATGAGGGATAAGGGATCTTTCGGAAAAGGCTTTATTTTCCGAAAGACCCGCGTCTAGACTGGCGCTTTTTTCCGACAAAGCTCTGAGCCGGAAAAAAGCGGCAGCCATATTTATGCTAATGAAGCAGGGGAGATTTAAATCCCCACTTCATTTGCAATTGCGATATGTCTAATTTGCATCCCTTTTATGAAAAAGGGATGCAGTCTAGACACAGCCCATGTATTTATATAGTCTATTGTTATTCTTTTCCTTACACATAAATGTTTTATCCAATGGTTAGCTCATTAAGCAGCTCACATCAAAACATAAATATCACTAATTACACATATAAAGGATCAGGTACCTCATTTGACTCCAGCGGACTCCCCTGCATTTCTGTCATCCCCTTTGTCTGATGTAAGTTATGTATCCACACCAAGGTATAAAAACAAAAGGAAGAAATGAGACCCCACTAAATACAGAAATATCGCTAAGTTTAAGCGAACCTCCTGAATACATAAACCACTGAGTACATTAAACAAAAAAGACTACACAAGTATTCACAAAGGAAAAAAAAAGATTGCGCAACTTCATATTCATGTGGTGAAGTATCTTGATTCACCAGTGGTCAATTTAAAACACCACAAATGCAAACTCAGTGAGGAAACAAAGATGCAAATTCATCTCAGGTGCTCAGCCATCATAGTGAATGGCACAGTGTAAGAATCTAGAAGGATAGTTTTTTAGAGTATTTATCAATGAAAATATCTACTAGGGATATTAAAATTTGTTTATTTAGGATTATTGATCAGAGGCAGCAGCAAAGGGGAGTGGGGAGAGAGGCGGTTTTGCAGGAGCTGGCTTAAAACCTCCCCCCAAGCACTGCCTCCTGCCTGTCCCTTACTAGATTTAAGAATCTAGTAAGAAATCTTGGGGGGATTTTCTATATTTTCAAAGATATCAGATAATTTTCCAACAAATAATTTAAAGCTTTTTCAGCTGCCTCCTATCACACCACAAGCTTCACTGTGAAAATTAGGACTGACAGAAAGCTTGGAAGCATAGTAAACACCTTTCGTATAGCAAACAGGTATGATGATGTGAGTTGATTTGCTAGCAACCAAGTCTTGCACCAATAAACCTACTTAAACCTGAAACTCTAAATCCCTTTCACAATGCCATTTTCATTTTCACTATTCAGTTACATCAACAGAAATTGTACATTCTACTCAGTAAAACAAATCTGAAGGAAAACATTTGAGATTTGATTCCTGTCACATAATTCAATGTACTGTGTCTGTGGAAGGGGGTTTATTAGATCTGGATCAAGATTTCCAGAATTCAAGAGATCCCATATTAAACTTGCAACAAAGAGAGACGCTGAGTGAATTTGACTGGGCAGCCACCCTTTTTTCTTAAGAGTTTCATGGAAAATGTAAAAAGGATAAAACAGATAGATAATTGCTTAGCTGTAAATGAAGTTGGTATAGGGGAACAGTTGTTTCACAACTTTAAGGCAGATGGAGAGCACCGGACACTTAAATCCTCTTTATCCTAAACTCAAGGTGGTACTCTCTCACTGGTTACCTCAAAATGAATCTGAAGGGTTGAAAACTGTTCCATCAGCAAGCCCATCTCTAATTTCTGTTTAGACTATGGAGGCACACTTATCTGTAGTGTTCACAACAGTCAGGAAGCAACTGGACCATAACCTCAAACTTGCATGTAAGTCAAACCACTGTTGCACAATAACTTTTGATAGCTATCAACCAGAGAAAGTTTGCACCAGTGGCTTAATATCAATTATTCCATGTCATATCAAATTTTCATGCTTTATTGTTGATCGGGTGGTATGAAAGGAGAAGAAATTGAAAGAAATACAGTGATAGAAATGTAGCCGTGTTAGTCTGGGGTAGCTGAAGCAAAATGCAGGACAATGTAGCACTTTAAAGACTAACAAGATGGTTTATTAGATGATGAGCTTTCGTGGGCCAGACCCACTTCCTCAGATCAAATAGTGGAAAAAAATAGTCACAACCATATATACCAAAGGATACAATTAAAAAAAATGAACACATATGAAAAGGACAAATCACATTGCAGAACAGGAGGGGCAGACCTGCTTCCTCAGATCAAATAGTGGAAGAAAATAGTCACAACCATATATACCAAAGGATACAATTAACAAAAAGAACACATATGAAAAGGACAAATCAAATTTCAGAACCTTCCCCCCTCCCCCCCGCAACCCTCTTCTGTTCTGCAATGTGATTTGTCCTTTTCATATGTGTTCTTTTTTTTAATTGTTTCCTTTGGTATATATGGTTGTGACTATTTTCTTCCACTATTTGATCTGAGGAAGTGGGTCTGGCCCACGAAAGCTCATCATCTAATAAACCATCTTGTTAGTCTTTAAAGTGCAACATTGTCCTGCATTTTGCAAGAAATACAGGTTATCTACTTTTTTTTTAAATCTCTTTTTTGGATTACTGCACTCCCCAATTTGTTGGCAGAGCAGTCATGCAACTGCTATTTTGGATTTCTGTATTATAAAAAGCTCCCCTTCCATATTTAGCCAACAAAAAATTGTTTTCCTTCTTGGAAGGAATGACAAATCTGTATGGGTGGAAAAAGATGTTTGTTGAGCTGAAATACTGAGTGCCTTTATATAAATTTTTAAAAATTAAAAGCAATTATTTAAATGTCAGGATAGTCTATTTTAATAGATGCACTCTATGCTCGAATAGTAAGGGAAGGCCAAATTGTATTTATCCTCAGATTCAATGGTGCTTGCTCCCCTCTTCTGCAAAGTCCTATAATTATTTACAATTCCATTTAAATATTTATTTCCATGAGTTTCTATGAATGTAATGGCCTTTCTATTAAAATTTAAAAATCTAGTAATTATGCCCACTTGTCAATATAGGATTGTATTTGAATAAAAGTGGCATAACTATAATAAGTCATTTAACTGCAATGCCAGAAAACAAAATAGCTAATAATTAAGATATAGTATTTATGTTCCTTTACATACAGTGATAAAATGATTCTACAGTACTGCTGCAGTATTTTACCCTTATTTTATTTTTTAGGAAAACAACAACATTCAAGTTTCCATGGCCAGATATCAAAACTGACCTGGTTTAGAGAGAAAGGTTCCAGCCTGTCTATGTGACTTCAAGAACTGCTGAACTTCCAAAACCATATTAGATTGCCTTAACACACAAACATATAGCTAAATAAAAAAAGTCATCTAACTGACATTAGAAAAATCTCTCTCTCTCTCTCTCTTTTCTCTGCCACTAGTTCTGAAGAAATCAGATGGTCTGTATGCCTTCAAAGTCAGCTTTTCCCACTAATCTCAGATCATTTTCAACTGTTCTTGCTAGGAAGGCTAAATTAAAAAGACAAATTAACCAGGCTATTACGATTTTTTTATTTGTGTTGCTGTAGCATCTGGGAGATCTATTGATAGATCAGAACCCCACTGTTCCAGGTAGAGATGTAAAAGGATAATTGGTTAACTGGTAACCCTCTCACTACCAGTTTCAGTTAACTGGCAGAGGGCTGGAGCAGCTCCCCACTCACCCTGGGAATAATGGGAAGCAGTGCAGCCACGCAGCTTAGTGGGAACTTAGGCTATAGTACTTATCTATCTGTAACAGTTTAAATTCTATGACAAATGAATTTGGCACGTATATGTAACAAGAGTAACAGATGTAAAAAAATGGAGATCATCAAATTATCCAATTAGATAAACTAAGGAGAGTAATGACAGTTTACTAGCTTAGTGGAAGTCAGTGCAAACCTTGGTAAAAATGTCTAGACTCTTTGCTTGTAACAGACTATGTCATTCATCCTTTTTTTGAAACTAGTATTTAAAACAAGGACCAACTAAAAGCCTTTTAACAGCTATTTGTAAAGATGTTTTAAACCACTGTTTAGACTGCATTAGAAAATGATGCAATATATGTACTTGCTACTTTACTTGAAAGTTAAAGGAATTTGCATCTGTGAAATTTCTAACAGCAGTGTGCAAGGTCTGATGATATGCTAGATATCGTGGGGACTGGATACTGAGACTCTTCAGAACACAGGATTTCCCTGCTTCTGATGCATGTAACAGTTACTGTTCTTCTATAATGTTTATTGTAGTAAGTACTTCATGAATTTTATATTCTTCACAGGCACTTTAGGTAGCCATGCAAAGTTATACTGCAAAATATCAGAATACTGGCAATATAAATTAGATGTTACACCTGTTTTTAAGATGTTTTAGACAGGACCAATGTGTTCCTATATGTTTATACAGAGCCTAGTACAATGAGTTCATATCATCTGGGCATAATGGAAACAATAAAAAATTACTAAATGTATTATTTGGTACTTGAGCAAATGCTTTTCTGAATTTAAGTTGTAAGTGTATTTAAACAAATCATCTTGATTAAGGTAAGGTTTTATTTTAAATGCTTAAAAACAGCTTCCTCTCCAGAGTTTTAGCACATTAATTTTACAGATAAAAATACAATGCCCACTAAGCTAAAGATACAGCTCAGCAGCTGAAACTGACTGCATTAAACACTGTTTTATGATGCTTAAAATTATTAGTAGAAAAGTATTCTATTACTGCTTTTAAACAGCAATTTTATTGACATAATCTTCACATGTCAAGTGGTGAAATCTGCAAGTCAAACAGTAAATTATTTTAACATGAAATCTAGATACTTTGGAATACCATTAAGTTTTACTTTACCTCCTCACTCTTTGACTTATGAAGAACAAATCCTTTTTTCCACTGCCCATCAGCACCCTCATTTGGTTTACGGATGTTGAATTCAACTTTTGCACGATCCTTATTCTGAATAGCTTTCCATTCATCCAGGGTCATTTCTTTAGGGCCTTCTTCCTTGATCTCTTCCACCTCATTCTCTCTGAATAAAATTATTTTTCTCATGATTACTTAATTTCTATTAATATTTTTAATAACTATGCATAGCAAATCCAGAAACACTGCATCAGAAGCAGAATATAGGGGGATTCATTATGTTAAAGACTTAGTAGTTATTAGGATATCAAGTAGAAAATATTCAGAACACTGCCCTATAAAAAGAGTGTTGTCTTTCAAAAGTTAAGATGGGATGTCCACCCTAATCAACTAATAAAAAACTGTCAGCAACGGCAGAGCAATGTGCCTCTGAACAACAAAATGGGAGTATAGCATATTGAACAGTTTTAAGTCAGTGGTGGCATAAGGTAATCCTATACCCATTGATGTTATTTTTCACTGTACAGGAGACTTTTACTGTTAGCTACAGAATCAATTTTTCAGATGTCCCCATGTAGATGAAAGCAAGACTGCTCACCAATGGTGAGTGGGGAGGGTCCAGTAGCTGACAATGGAGGTGGGTCCATGCAAGGCTGATGCCAGGACAAAGATACAGCTCCTGCAGGCCCATCAATGTAGCACTTGCTGTTTCTCATCTCTTGGTCAGAAGGCCCTTACCCCCATCTTGTTTCCAGCCAACATTGGCCAAGTGCTATGTTGTGGAGGCTTGTTTATACAGGTAGGCATGCCAGACACGGGCCACTTACAGGTCACTATTGCAGCCCACCCACTGGCTCTTTACCTGCTCCCCCTCGGATTGTCCTCCCTCTCCGTCCCTTTATCCCCTCGAGCCCTGCTGTTCCTCTATATTTCCTCTAGTGCATCCCACTCCCAGTACCATGTGGAGAACAAGGTCCTGATCGAAGTATGGAAGTTAAGGACTAGTCGACCTTCCCCCCCCCCCGCCCCCGCCTTTCTGCCTCTATCAGACAGATGCAGCAAGGCGGGGGATGAGGGAGTACTTCAAAGCGGCAGCGCCGCACAGCTGACCCTGAGTTCTGGGGAAATGCAGTGTGAAACCTGCAATCAGCTGGGAAGTACCCGGCTGATCCTGGGTTCCATGAGTTCGCTTCTGCTTTGAAAGGCACAAGAGCTCACACCGGGTTCTGGGGAAGTGCAGAGGAACCCGGGGTCAGCTGGGGAGTCCCCAGCTGATCCAGGGCTCCTAGCAGCAGGAAGCTGACCCCAGGCTCCATGGCTTTGAAATGCACAAGAGCCCCTACTGGGGCTCTTGTGCATTTCAAAGCAGGCATGCTGCATGGGACTTCCTACTGGCCCCGGGCTATATGGGGAGTTTCACATTCCTCCTTTGGAATGTACAAGAGCCACAGTGGGGGCTCGTATACATGTCAAAGGATCAATGTGGAAGTGCCTATAGAGTAGTCAATTAACTGCATTTTAACATCCTTAGTTCACACCCCAAATTTGCAGGTTCCACAGCAACATTCTGGAGTGAGCAAACTGACAAATCTGGGAAGGGTATGTGACCCTGCATTGCCCCTCCCTCTCCCCCCAGTACTGCCTCAGCAAGATGTGGCATCAGATACCACAAGTGGCAGTTCTGTCCCAGAAGCCTAGCTGGACATGGATGACAGACAGCACAGGGCAAGAAGGGGCAGTTCAGTCAGTCTTCTTGTGAGAGAGAGATGTATGGAAGTGTGTGCCCTCAGAGAGAGTGAGGGCATTCGGGAGTGTGGATAATCCCTAAGAAAAGAAGGTAAATGAACAGGAGCTCTGTGAACTTGATGTTGCATGTGCCATTTCCAAAGAGCCAACTGAATATACTCCGCCTAGGGGCTCTGGCTCTGAAAGCACGATTGTCTGTCTTGCACTCTCAATATTGCCACCTCTCGGTTCCCACGCATCACGGATGGAAAAGGAAGATGTTCAAAAGCAAAGGAGAACAATCAGGGAAGTGATGCTGAGCAGATAGGAACAATTACAAAGTACAAGGATGAAGAGTCGAGGCAAGGGAAAAGAGTAGCCAGGGAGACATGGGGAGAGGGGGAGATCAAGAGCAAAAGGGTCTGTAAGCATTAAAGCACACTCTTAAGCTGATGTAAGCATGCCCTAACTATGTAAGTGTTTCTATCACCAAGTGTAAGTAGCCTGCTATACCAACCTAGTAAATCCACCTCATTGAGAGATACACAATTTAAGCTGATGTAATCTGGGTGATGCAGCAATTTCAGCTGCCCACTCCCTGCAGCAGACGCTGTGAGTCCAGGCAGCAGTCATGCTCCCATCTTGGAGCTCAACAACAAACTGAGAGCCAGGCTCTCAGGCCCCCAAACTACCCTTCTCCAAGCACTGAAAGAGCTCCTAGTGAGAAGATGCACCACCCACAAAACAGCAGACAGCAGCATGAACACTAAAAACCACAGCATTTACTGCAGTGCCAAAAGTCCATCTGGCATAGGTTGACTTAACTTTGTAGTGTAGACATGCTCCTAGAGAGAACCTAGAAATGATTTCACTATTCCTGAGTGAACTTTCAGTTACTGTCTAATAAATAGCCATGACCCCTGAGCAGGAACACACCCTTTTTCTGTTACCTGATTCTGTCTTACCAGGGTGTCCAACACACTAGCCACATGCGGCTATTTGGCCAGGTGAGTGTGGCTAGTTCGCTATAGCAGAACTGATTGAACACCATAGGTCTATTAACTCAAGCAGTAGATTACTACTGTGAATTTAAAGATCCCAACCTAAAATGATGACCCATGACTGAGTTGTCAAATACAGGATGAGCAGTTCAGTATGCCATCTACCCTGGGTAGAGAGGACTATTGCAGCCCAGCTTAGGGGCAGGTGAGAAGTGCCTCTCCATAACTGCTGCAGCCACAAGAGGGATGCATGTCCCCTGGCTGAGGGACGGACAGGCAAGAGACACAAACTCTCAGGCTACGTCTACACTGCAGGCTTTTCGTGCAAGAGATGTGCTTTTGCCCAATAGCATCCATGGCAGTGTGGATGCTCTCTTGCACAAGAGGGCTTATTCCTTGTGGGGAGAGGACTAACTCTTGTGCAAGAAGCCCTCTGTTCGATACTTTACTGTAAATTTACTTACGTGCAGTGTAGACGCTCTGCAAGTTTTGGCGCAAGAACAGCCATTCTTGCGCAAGAAGCCTGCAGTGTAGACGTAGCCTCAGTCTGCAGTGGGTGGTGTCTGTGTGGGATAAGGCAGGGGCACGCCTCTGCTATAATATGTTTATAAACACACAATACCCACCCCCCTCTCTTCCCCGCACGGGAATAGGTGCTACACCAAATTCTTGCAAGGCCATCAGTCACCTGCAGCAGTGGTCCTGCCTTGTCTTTCAGATGACTACATTTCTGCACACAATGTTCCATGCCTTGCTCCGCCCCCCACCTTTGCTGGGGGTGTGTAAAAACACAGGGGGTCGCAGCCCATGCAAAGCTAATTCCAAACAGTGGAAAGAGCAGCTCTTGCCCAGCTGCATGAAGTGCCTGGCCAATGAGCAGCAGGGCAGCTGTCTGCATTACTGACCACTGTCAGACCAGGGCAGAGATGGGGATGCTCATTAGCAATGGATTCAAAGCACCACAGTTCCAATGCTCCCTCAAAGCAGCTGAGCCAGCACAGATAGGCTTGGGATGCCCCCCACCTCCTTCACAGGGACACTGCCAGGGCAATGCCTACACAGGATGATGCTCACATTCCCAGGGACTGCTGGAGACCTCTGTCTGGAAGCTTGGCTAGGAAACAGATCATAGAACCAACCTCCAGGGAGCTTCCCATGGACACCTATTAGGCATAGCTGGGTGTATTCCACTCCAAGAACTGCTTGCGCTGCAGCAGGAGTGGGACATCTTGACTCTCTTCCATCCTCCTCCATGCTGCTTCCTCTGTCCCCACATTTCAGGGTGTTTAGCAGCAACTATGGTTATCATGGGCCAAGTTTCTTCCTGGGGCAGTTCCCTCATCTCTCTGCCCCTGTATGCACATGGCAAGGACACACACAATCCTGCAGCAAACATTTTCCCCCTCTTTACTACCTCCCAAGTCCAGCACTTCGGGACCTGTTTAAAATTATACTGTTTATGTATATAATGCCATCTGTCTAGAAAAAAAGCGTCTTTGGAGACTAACCCCCCATTTACATTAACTTTATGGGAAAATTGAATTTACTTTATATCATTTTGCTTCAAGTCATTTTTCAGGAACTGTAATATCCATTGTAGTTATGTATTAACCACATCTCTCCCCTTGCAGTTAAGTCTCATTCACCATAAATCTTCAACTTCCACAACAACAAGAGAGGTAGGGGTCCTTACAGACAACTACAAAACTCTGATTCGTTCCCCAGAGCACACTTATCTGTGTGTGCTGAATGTGGCAAGGATTGCATAGATCAGTGTTTCCCAACCTTTTTTTTTTTATAAAGTACCCCTTTACAAAAATTGTAAGCACCCCCCAGTACCTACAGTTTTCAGACAAAATTTTTTTCTACAATTACAACACATTTGTTTAGACACCTTAATCTTAGTCAGGCGGGCGATGAAATTTTTGGATGTGAAAAGTACAAAAATAATAAAGCGCTGTAAAACTTAAAACAAAAATTCAGTTTTCTCCATATTTCGGTTGTGTTGACGTACCCCCCAGACTTCTCTCAAGTACTCTCCCTACCCCGCAAGGGTACTCATACCACTGGTTGAGAAACACTGGCATAGAAAACACAGTACTGTATACACTCTTGTAATTAAAGGACCATTTCATAAAGCATACATGAGAGTCAAATTAAGGTTCCACACGCAGCTTTCATTCTACTATTTTCTAAGTTTGAGGAATTAATTTCGCATCCTTAATGTTCTTTTAGCCTACGTTTTTGGATGTAATATATTCTGCCACTGAATCAGACAGCTTTTATGCCTCAAATCAAATAGATATCAAAGGAGGCTAGTCCTCTTTCTACACTGGAAAACTTTACCACCACAAAAGGCTACAGTGAGTCACTGCACTGATCCTTTATAACAAATAATAGTCACGATTAGGAATGTAAAACAGTAGAGTTGACTACTTGCATTCCCCCCTTCCCAGTTGCTGCCTGTGATGGGGTGTGAATACCCCACACTGAATCAGGTGGAGTTAAAACTCTGTGGACAGAGGAAGTCCTGCCCCTTCACTCCAACTGGGCATACTCCAAATGCTGGGGAAGCATAAAAGGCAGTAGCGCAGTTCAATCTGGGCTGGCCACCAAAGAAGGACCTTCACCAGAAGCACCAGAACCCATCAGACACCCAGGAGACCACAGTGAGCTGCTAGTGCCGGAGCCATCTCAGGGAGAGCCAACCACAAGGAAACAAGAGAACCCAGTGACCAGTGGGACATGGCCCCTCCAATGCTGTAGGAAGTGACCCAGGTAGAGTGTTGGAGTGGTATCTCCCAGCCAGGTAAGCTTGGTGTGTTTTGGTCAGACTCCCCCTTGAGCAAGTGGTAGAACACTCTGCCACTCATAGGAACCCTTAATTAAGCAGTTGTCCCCCCTCAACTTATTGACTCTGCCCTGAGTTAAAAGGCAACCCCATATAGACTCTGGCTGCTACCATGCTGCCCTGAGTTAAAGAGCCATACCTTATTGACTGTAGCCTTTAGGCCGCACTACTTTAGACAGAGACTGATCTCTATGGGTTGCCGACTGCCTCTTAGCCTAACAAGACGACCAGGCTGGAGCTTAAAAGCCAGTCCCTTTGCCCTCTCCCCCCCTCGCCCTCAATACAGGCAGCAGCATGATGTGTCTGAAGAGACACCTTAGAAGTTATCAGCACTCAAATCAGGATTTTCTGTTTAAGTCTATTTCTCTCCTATTCCTACATACTACAATGAAGTAATCAGTTGTGACAATCAATTCTTAATACTGTAAGGCCATAGTGGCTTCACTATGAAAAAATCAATCACAAGGGAAAAACTAAATTCAAAAGTTTTCCTTACAACCAAAGGAATAAAAATCAGTGGCAAAATAGTTATGATTTGTTTAGTTTTGCCTCCCTCATCTCTACATAGTACCTCATTACAAACTTTTAAAAAGCCTCAGAGAGCTTGCAAATAAACCTGTCTCATTTACTAGGGGGCACAATTTTAAAGTACATTTTAAAGGAAAATAATGTTGATGTGTTGGGATCATGCTTCCACAGTGCTGAACATTTAAAATAAATCTAATGTAAATAAATTATTCTAGTGCAAACTTCAAGATATGTGCAATTCCTTCTCAAGCCTCTTTTTGCCTAATGTACAGTATCCAACCTTTCTATGCTGCCTCCCAATGGGTAACTTCCCTCCCAATCTGTTTCATGAAGCTTATATAAGCTAACATCCACACTTTACTGACAGTGCCTGGGTTATCTTCTACCTATTTGTCCCAGGATACTTCTTCTGTTAGCAATCTGCATATTATACCAACATGAAATGACCTACATGCTATTTAAAAAGATTACAAATGGCTATTCCAATTTAGAAATTTCGTGTGGAATTCTATGAAAGCCACTCCTAGTTCAATAAAAACACTAATGAATGTATGCATTGCTCTTTGAAGATGTATAGCAGTGTTGCAAATCTTATTTTCTATCCCACCCATCTTTTTTACCTGAAATGGACCATTAAAGCAAAACTTTTTCCTATTTCACCATTCTACACTCCAGATCTGCTTCAAAAGGTATCTAAGCTACTCCAAGCTGCTATGGAAGCCTGATGTTTCATTAAATGCAGCTCACTTGAGATTCACTTTAATAATGCTACTCAGATGTATCCTGGAATAAGATAAGACTCCAATAATTTCCAGGGGAATGAAAATTGTTTGATCAACTGTTAAACATGTTTACGTAGTAATATATAGCCTGTTTTGGTTTGATGCACTTAATTTTTAACACAAGCTTTAGTACTGACAAATTGTAAGCTAACAACATGTCCAGCAAAATATGCTTAACATTATAGCTATTGAAATTAGTAGTTTAACATGTTTTCCAGGAGAAAGTATATACTGGATGCAATTCTGGGAGATAAATCAAAACTTCCACGTGATTCACACAGTAAAAATGATTTTCAACATGAACCAGAAAACTGCCTAACCAACTGTTAACAAGCAGTAATGAACGCAGTACCAAAAGTCCAATTACATCAATGTAATTACATCAATGTAATTAAATAGTCTATCAGTAATATATTTCTTACTACTGTTCTCAATTCTGAATTTTCCAGAGCTATGTTGACTCACTAGTTGTGCAGGTGAGGTGTTAGCAATATCTATTCAATGCTATTAAACCCACAAACAGATGCATGTGTTTCCCATCCACCAAACTTCACATCAAGTTTTTCAGAGATAATATTAAAATGGTATTTAAAACAGATTAACACTTAATTTTGGGGAGTGGGAATCTATAATATGGAGATATACCTCTCTCATAGAACTGGAAGGGACCTTGAGAGGTCATTAAGTCCAGTCCCCTGCCCTCATGGCAGGACCAAGTACCATCCCTGACAGATTTTCCCCAAATCCCTAAAGGGATTGAACTCACAACCCTGGGTTTAGCAGGCCAATGCTCAAACCACTAAGCTATAGAGTGCATTATATATTCAATCCAGCTGCACTGTGGAAAACGTAGTTATCTTGATATTCTGCCTGTTGTGTGGAACCCTACTCTAATCTTGAGTAAGTCTCCCTTCCACAGCAGCTTTTTGTGTTACTATGGGCTAAAACTTTGTTGTTCTAGGGGCAAAACCTCAAAAACCAACATGCAGCAAGTTTACACTGAGCCAGAAATTCCTGAAAATGCTTCACATAGAACTCACCTAAGGCTCTGCAAGACCAAACAAGATGTCTCGCATCCTGAGCACTACCGCACAATCCCTAATGCAGGGGAAATCTGCGGGTGGATCCACTGACCCCACTCCTGCTCACCTAAATACTAGAAGGTAGGGATAGTCACACAACAGAACTGCATGAGACAAGGGGGAAACTGTACCACTTCTGCTGTATCAGGGTCTTCTACAGCCTCTAAGGAGCAAAATTTGGCTTTTAAATACACAATACAAATTTCTCATCCTCACTGGATAATAAAATTTCACGCTGACTATCCATAAAGTGACTGAAAAAATTAACTGGTAATGCATCAGAAAAGCCATACTGGGTCAGACCCAAGGTCCACCTAGCCCAGTATCCTGTCTTCCAACAGTGGTCATTGCCAGGTGCGTAGAGAGAATGAACAGAACAGGTAATCAAATGATTCCTCTCCTATTGCCCATTCCCAGCTTCTGACAAAGTCCAGGGACATCATTCCTGCCCACCCTGGCTAACAGACGATGATGGACCCATTCTCCAAGTATTTATCTAGTTCTTTTCTGAACCCTGGTTTTTACAACATCCTCTGGCAAAGAGTTCCAAAGGTCGACTGTGCATTGTGTGAACACTTTGCACTAAACCTGATACCTATCAATTTCATTTATTGCCCCTCTAGTTCTTGTATTATCAGTAAATAACACTTCCTTATCTACTTTCTCCACATCAATGCATCCCCATTAGAATTTTCTTCAGACAAATGTATGCTCTGAGATGTCCCAATCCAGCTGTCTTTTTTAAGACAGAGTAACATGGAATTGTATCACGTCATACTAAATTTGACACAAATTGCTTTTCATTCATTCTCTACAGTTCTTAAAGTGTCTCATTGAGTTTTTATGAACCTAATTTCCCACTACTGATAATCTTATTTTCCAATAGCCAATTGTTTCTCTTCAACCAATCTAAGTTATTAAAGCCACCTATTTCAAATTCTCTGCTTTCCTCTTCCTTTGAGGGTAGATCACTCATACGCACAGCAATGGACAAGCAATATTCTCCTCAGAAGTTTAGCCATCATAAATACAACCATTTTATAAATCCAAAAGTGAAAAAGTAGTGCTGCCTCCCAACTATCTCCTTCTGTTGTTACCATGCTCAAATGTGGAAGGGCAGCTTTCAAGTTTGTGTTTTGATTTGAAGATCTTATTCTGAAAGCAAACTGTAATTTAACTATAAATGAATTGATTACATAGCAAAAAAATGGAAAGTGGTCTAGTTGTTAGTGATCACTGATGAACCATTAATACGTGAACATCCATAAAGATTGTTTAGAACATGAGTTCCCAAACTGGGGGCTGTGAAGAAATTCCGGGGGGGAGACGGGGGAGGG